ATGGCTCCAAGAAGTTCCATCTACCTACTGGATCGACTGCAAGTGCAAAGAAAACTAGGATCTACTTAGACAAATCCTTTAAGGTAATGGCATACAACTATTTGAAAGAAGCAAGAATAAAGTTGAGAGAATTTTAACGTTCAAATATGGGGGTTAGACCCCATAGCAGACTTCCAGTGGCAAGTGACCCTAGGATCTGGCAGCAAAGATGTCTCGCTGGGGTGGAGGAAACATAGAAGATGGCAGGGAACAGCGCCTGGGGGCAGTGAGAGGCAGGAAAAAAAAAGTTTTCTAGAACGAATGCATTTTCAATGGGAGGTCACTTTTGGTGCTAAAAACTGTTCGTTGTTTTGAGGTGTCCGCTAAGGGAGGTTCTACTGTATATACAATATATAAACCATATAAAGCACTAATGTTTCTCTTAAAACCAAACTGTCTTCACTTCGATGTAAAATATTGGGAGAGTAAAAAGTTTGATTGTTTTAGAGAAGCATTCTAATCTCTAGCCTGTTCATTGATACGCTAACCATGACATATGCACAAAGGAATGTGTGGCCATTGGACATGGTCTTAATAAAGCTTTGTGTGTGTGAAGTTTTATATATATATATATATATATATATATATATATATATATATATATATATATATATATATATATATGGCACGTTATTGTATTGTTTTATAAATAATATCTTTTTGAAATTTTATTTACATACTGTTCACACGTCAAAACGATTAGAATCAATTTTACATACCCATTTTTATAATATTCTAAAAAAAAAAAAAACTATCGTAAAAAAAAAAAACAATTTAGTATTTATTTACTATTATAAACATAAAACTATTTACATAAAGCTGCACCTTGGAAAAAGACGCGTTGTCCATGAAAATGTTAGTTTACATTTATCAATAAAAAAAGGCTAAAAATACTAGTTGGCACAATATATACAGAAAAACTTAATAAAATTAACACCTACACAATATATTTTTTATTATAGTAGGCAGAGAATATGTTTACAAAAATCTGATAAAAAAATTGACGGCAAAAAATGCTATCTACAAATATTTTAGAGGGGAAGGAATAAGCTGTTTTCATCTATGGATTAAGATTTTTAAAAGATGGCAAAGATTTCAAGAGAGATGGCCAACCATACAGGTATCTGTATTCAATGCAGATTGCATTTTCTTTAATAACAACCTTGTTTCCGCTGAAAAGAACATTAAACCATACAGATCGTTTAGTAAAATACAAGAATCAAATTCTTGAAGATTAAGTCCTAAATGCTTCTTGAAGTGTGCTTCACAATTTTCCATTTTCTTAATAAAATAAGGAATAATGGCACCTAGACGTACACTATTAGTAATATGGAATGCAAAATGATAATTTTTCATAATCTTTATTCTATAATCATCAGGAGGTGCTAGTATCACATTATAATAAATTTGATCCTTAAATCTCGCTCTGGAAAGAGAAAATTCAGTAATTTGTGCTCTCATTCCAAATGTAGGAAGATCAATCAGTTTATCTCCCCAATGAAAATGAAGAATTTTCTTTGAAGTAGAACTAACTAAAATGCTATATTTATGAAGACCACGATGTTCAAATTCAAATTGTTCTTCTGCTTCTTCAAAACCCAGTATTAATTGCTGAAATATAGAAAGCAACTGTACTTTTGAGATTCTTTTTTCTTGAATCAAAGTCTCTAAAAGTTCAGCTTTAATATTCGTCTGATAAACAACATATAAGCAATTTTGTTCTCCTTTTGAAAATCTTGAAGGTTCCAATTCCTTTGGCCAATTATCCCATACTAACCAAACTTTATCTGGATTGATAAATATATGATTTCTTTTCATTGAAGATAAGATACGACAAATTTCAAAATCGTGACGTATATGATTCATATTAGCGAAAAAGGTATTGTTTTCGGAATCGATTGGTAGAATTCGGTAAAAAGATTTGACTTCATTCCCTTTACGATAAGAAAAAAGTGAACCGTATAAGCATTCACCTTCAAATTTTAAATTTTTATGTGAGAATAATTTATCAAAAGTTAATAAACGTTGGCTAGCTAAATTTCGACGAATTTTTTCATAAATTCGAAAATCTTCATTGTTTAGAAGTGTTTTGATTTTTAAAGTATTCGGCATATCAATAAAAAATAAAACTATATGGTAAAAAAAAAAATCCCCTCTAAAATTGCAGACTTACGCCAAAGTTTTAAATAGGGTATTCACCCTTAACTTCTGCAAAGAATTCCCCTGACCTCCTTTCTCAAAAGTATCTTCTGACTCACAATATTTGGTTGAAAATAAAATAAGTTTTTTTATTGTTGATACACTTGAATATTTGTATGATGATAAGTACTTTTTTTTAAATTAAAAAATCTATGATATATTTAGAAGAGATAAATTCAAAATTAAATTTATTAATAGCATTTTTTAAAATTAATTTAAATTTTCTTATTTACATATTTCTGAAATTATATTTTTTATTGAAAATTCTGAATAACTCGTACGAATTTCAATCTATTCTTATCTAATTATATATGTAATTATTTTTATTTGCATATATAAGAATGGAATACAAACACGTGTAATAATTATTATCTATTAAAATATAAATATTTCAATTAAAAAAAAAAAGAAAATGTAAATCAATTCTTTTTAATATTTTCCGTTTGATATATCTTGTATTGCTTTATTTCAATATTTATAATCCTATTGAAATTAAAAACAACCTTTTGAATTCAGTACTAAGAATGTTTAATTATATATATATATATATATATATATATATATATATATATATATATATATATATATATATATAAATGATTAAAAAATAAATTTTAATAAAATTCTCATTAAAATTTAAAATATTTTCATATTTATATTATACTAGAAAAATGTATCCAGCTTCGCCCGGTTTTTATCCGAAGGAAAGTTTTACTAACGAACATTTGTTCAAATTAAATTTATTAAAAAAGATAATACTTAACGATAATGTCTTAATATGATCATCATTATCTTATAACCTATGAGAAATTTGAAATTAGTATTTTTAACGAAAAAATACTAAAACTACTGAATCTATTCTTCTAAAGAAAATTATTGTTTAAGAAATAGAACAACCAGATACAAATGCTTCCTTAATAAATAGAACAAACTACACTACTGTCCTTGCTGCAATGAAAAATATTGAGAGGGCTTGGTTCATCAGTGGTGAACCCTCCCAGCGGTTTCGTCAATTGAATCCACCAGACCGCTTCTTAGAGCTTTAACTAGACGGGTAACCCGGGCTTCGCCCCGGGATTGACCCGTGTGCATATCTACCCGTACAAAAGCTACATACCTATACTTTCGATATTTGCGGACCTATAATGAGGTATTGTTAACAATAGATTATTTAAGGAGCGACCCGCTCCAACACAATAGTTACAAAAACCAAAAAGCGAGTGGGGGCAAAGGTGGCGTGATCGTAGCCAACCAATAGGAGAGCGCCATTCCAAAAAAAAAAAAAAAAGCAAACGGTGACAGAAGATGAAGAATTATTAAGAACGCATGACGCTCGTAACTGTATATAGAATACTGTGCAGGACTGCTGATGTATGTGACAATGAAAGAAGGATAATTAGTTATGATATTTTAGAAATCTATTTCCATAAGCTTTTAGGACAGTAGAATTGTCTACAAAGAGTTTTATTTGTAAAAGAGACATTCGTACCTGGCTGTTCTATTTCTCACATATTGATGACAAGTTATTGACTTATAATCAAATTCTTGTTTTCTACGATTCTCCACACCAAAACTATTGAAAAAAAAAAAACATAGGAAAATATTGCATGTATATATCTGAATATATATATATGTAGTAATATATTTCAATATACACTATATTTACATATATACCATAATTATAAATAGTGTAACAGCCCCCTAAATGTAGATACAATTCAACACGCCAGCTTGGTCATCATGTAATCACAGATAGACCAATAAAGTTTTACTGAGAGTCCGCCGTACCCAAGACAGGGCGAGGTCCAATTTCTTCAAGATTGTTCATTTCCTCCCAGGAAACTTCCAATAAGTTTTACGACCACCTCTGGACATCAACAAACGGGCGGACAACAACAGATAATCTTTCCCACTCTTTCAGTTCATCTCTCCCTCATATAGGTCACACACAAGCCTTTATTAAGACATTCCGTCTTATACAGACGCTTCTCCTGTTAGAAATGTATCTAAAAAGAAATGAGAAGCAGGGGAAGAAACTGAATCCTCGCTTAGAAAAGAGAAAAAGAAGAAAATAATATATATGTACAAAAGTTGAGACTATATACATATTTTTTCGTGCATAGAACACAGTGAAGAAGTAGACAATTGAGTAAATGGTTGCATCTTGTGAAGAAAAAATATTTCTATACAGTTCAGTTACTTTGTTAGGTCTTTTTTGTTCCTTTCAGTCTTGTAAAAATTAAAGAACTTTAAAATAGCTGACTGATTATCCATCAAGTCTGAAAAAAAAAAAAGGAATTACAGCAAAAAGTGTGGATGAGCAACTCTACCGCAAAAAAGTTTCTCTTTCCATAGTAAGAGACATACATTCAAATATATAGTGTTCCAGAGAGAGAGTTCGGTCCCTCATGTAGATCACACCCTCTTGGACCTTGTCGCGTCTTCGGCGCTGGCCTCTCTTCTAGGTGACATCCAACCTGCCTTGTCCTTTGTGTTATCCATTGACGCCTGAACACGAGACCCATGACTGTTAGTGCTTGTGGTACGAGATATAAAATAACATAAAGGTTATTCAAAGCCTGAAATTAAACAAATAAACTATTTTATATGTAGAACGACATTTGAAAATTATCCCACGTGTGTTTCTTTTTAAACGAAATATCTAAATTTATTTTAAGGGGAAATAACGATTATTTCTAACCTTAGGGATGAGGTATGAAAGGATGAATTGTGAAGAGTAATGATAAACGGAAAAATAAAGTGTCCAGGGATGGGAATCGAACCCACAGTGTTCCGCTGTAACCTCTCTCCCTACTGTTGACTAGATGTCTATAAACTATTTTTAATTATCAATTGTTACAGTGTTCCGCTTACTGGGCAGATGCCATGTCCACTAGGCTACCCTGGACATATTTTTTGGTTCGTAAATATTATATTTTATATGTATATTTTGGAGTTATAAAAATAACATAACTATATTTTATACTCACTGAATGACCCACTGATTCGTCCAGCTTCATTCCAAGTGAATGTTTATCAGTCGAATATTGTTTTAACAAAAGTTATATATTCTGTTTATATCTTTATAACTCTAATTAGTGGTCATGAAAGAGAGATAATATATCATTATTACTATCATCATTTTTTATTTCATTTTAAATATTTAAATTTCAATTTAGAATGATATAATAATAATGAAAATTCGAAACTATTATAGACGCGTATGCTTCTCTTAAAAATTAAACAATAATGCATCATAATTATAATAAATAATAGTTTTTGATGAGTCATTATTGTGAGAAGAGACCAAAGATAAATGAGACAAGTTTCTTTATTTTACGATGCACAAGCGCGCCATCTGTTATCAAATTACAAAACTATTTTAGACGCGTAATATTCTTTTTAAAATAAAACAATTTCTACTGCCCCTACTGCAATGGAAAAATTAAAGGGAGGGCCTGGCTCATCAGTGGTGAACCCTCCCAGCGGTTTCGCCAGTTTAATCTACCATACCGCTGTCATATTGCATTTTTGGAACTTCCTTTTATAGTGTTACTGATGCTTGACTTCTTCTTTATTGAAGAGGTACCAGCTTTCGGACAATAAAAGTCCTTTAAGTCATTCTCTGAAAGATATTTGATACACAATAACCTTTAATAAAGACACACGAGATAACCAAGTGTGAACAAAATTGTCTCTGTCTCCTTAAACAACAACAACAACACAAAAACAGATAACCGGCGATATTAAAGGCATTACACTTCCTTAAGTTTTGTCTATTAGTATATTTTTAAAAATCCAATATGTACTTTTTTATATAAAAATGTATTTATAGATTGCTTTATAACGAAAAATATTTTCATATGTTTAAAGTGTATGTTACAAATATGTTCCTGGTTGTCTAATGTTATTACTGGTGTGTTTGTAAGAAACTGAAAATCCAATTGTTTTATATTTTAAGTAAACATATTTACATATTTATATAAACATAATAATTGATATTTAGTACTCTTAATTGGTTATACATTTTAAAAATACATTTTTTTATGAAGCTATACACAATAAAAAGATAAATAGTTATAAAAATTGACGATAGATGGCGGTGTGGCGTGTTTTTTTTTTTGTAGAGAGAAACAGCCTGGGTTCCTGGAGTACCAATCATAAAACCTATTTTTAAAAATACACGAAAAACTATTATTCTTAATAAAAACTCATATATTTTAATGATCCAATAGTTACATATATATTTAGCATTTATGAAGGCCTTTTTTTACAAAATAAAATAAAAATATATTAGGAAAGACAAACTTCAGAATGACACAGCAATTTATTTAGGGCAAGAACAAACTATGATAAGATACAAGATAAGCAACGAGGGAAGTTTACGGAGAAACAAAATATAAAATATCAAAATTGATACTCTGTTAATAAAATAACAAATACTTTGCTACAATATAAAAAAGGCGTACCTGGATCTATGAAAGAAAAAAAAAACAATTTTAATCTCAAAGTATTTCGAGGAGTTGCTCCCTCGTTATCAATTTAGTACAGAATAAACTTAAAAGTAATTTTTGATCGAATATATTAATACATTCAATAGATCGACTTTTGACTCAAAATAAAAATGTTTGTTGTGTTTTAACTACTCGAAAAGTAAAATTGAATTTTACTTTGTTTAGCGAACATATATAATATTTTTACATTTTTAAAAATTAATCAACCAGGCGCGATATTGAAATATTTGCGCCTATTACAAAGGAAATAAACAAAACAAAAAACAAATACAAACTTAGAATCAAATACAGTCTACTCTCGTTATAACGCCACTCGATATAACGCCACCCTCGCCTTACGCCGCTTTTTCGTTTTGTCCCAATCGACATCAATGTATTTTTCTCGATATAACGCCACTCCCTCGCTGTTCGCCTTCCGCCGCTGATTTTTCGTATCCCAAGTAGCAAAAACCACTCGTTATAGCGCCGCTCACAACGTCCCTCACCCCCCCTCCCCCTTTCTTGACTGCATTTTTTACGCCAACGGCGCCGGACTTTGTTTGCTGCTGACACAACAGATAACAGATTGTGTGAACAGCCAGCAGACCCTTTTCCTGCTTGTTCCTGGGACATAAACAGTCTCTTCATCCTTTGCTAACGTCAACACAACAACTTTATTGTCGTATCATGAGTTCCCAAAAGCGTAAACGTGAGTCGATCACCATTGAAAATAAGAAGGAGATATGCCAGTTGGCAAGAAATAACCCTACGATGTCGAAGAATGAGATTGGAAAGCGTTTCTCACTTCCACAAACAACTGTCCGTGATATTCTCACTCAGGCTGAGAAGTGGGAAAATTATACTGTTGGTTCTTCAAAGAGTCGGAAAATTTAGTGACTTGGAAGACGCTCTCTTCAACTGGTTTACCCAAAAGAGTGCCAATAATATTATTATTACTGATGATCTCTTAAGAGAAAAGGCAAAAAAACTTGGCGAGCATTTGGACGTACCAGAAAATTTCGCGTACAGCAGTGGGTGGCTGCAGCGATTTAAAGGGAGATTCCATATTTCGCAACGACGGCTCTGTGGGGAAGGCGCATCGATTTCTCCAGCTATCATTGATGAACATCTTACAAATTTGAACAGTATTCTGGCGAACTGCGGATATGATCCAGCTAACATATACAATGCAGACGAAACAGGATTATTTTTTCAGCTCATTCCTGACCGAACACTTGCTCACAAAGATGAAAACTGCCGTGGTGTCAAAAGGATGAAGCAACGAATCACTGTTCTACTGTGCTGCAACTCTACTGGAACAGACAAGCGGCGATTGCTGATTATTGGAAAATCGGCAAAGCCTCGATGCTTCAGAAACTTTAGTCCACACTTCTACTGCACTTACACATCTAACAGCAAAGCATGGATGACCTCTAGCATCTTTCAAGAATGACTACTGCAGTTCAACAAGCAGCTTGTCTCTGAAGGACGTCGTATCCTACTCAGTGTTGGGCAAATATTAATTAAAATGATTTATTAAAGATTAACAATTGATTAATTGTTAATTGTAATTTTCACAATTAACAATTAATCAATTGTTAATTGTATTTTTACAATTAACAATTAATTAATTGTTAATTGTATTCATACAATTAACAATTAATTAATTGTTAATTGCACTTTTCTAATTAACAATTAATTAATTGTTAATTGCACTTCAATTTAATTGAAAAATAATTTTTTAATGCCCAACACTGCATTTCAGTACCACTCTCTTCTCGAACATGCTGTCCGACAATTTGTGACTCTTTGGCAGATTTGTCATTGTCGCAAAAGAAAAAAGGCGTTCAACTGCAGCTGACGATGGTAAAGGTGTGTTGTATTTAATAAAAACACTTTTTATCTCAGGCAGTGTTGGGCAAATATTAATTAAAATGATTTATTAAAGATTAACAATTGATTAATTGTTAATTGTAATTTTCACAATTAACAATTAATCAATTGTTAATTGTATTTTTACAATTAGCAATTAATTAATTGTTAATTGTATTCATACAATTAACAATTAATTAATTGTTAATTGCACTTTTCTAATTAACAATTAATTAATTGTTAATTGCACTTCAATTTAATTGAAAAATAATTTTTTAATGCCCAACACTGATCCTACTGTTGTTAGATAACGCTACGTCTCACTGCGTCCCTAATGATGGTCTCAGCAACATAAAGATACACTTCCTTCCACCAAATATGACTGCCAGTCTGCAACCACTGGATAGTGGCATCATCAAAAGTTTCAAGGCTCAATATCGCAAGCTTCAACTCCAGAAAATGGTGGAATTGGCGGATGCCCATCTACCCACAGAATTACGTCTGGATTACGCTGTGCGCTATTGTAAAATGGCTTGGGATTCTGTGAGCCCTGATTCCATCAGCAACTGCTGGAATCACACAGGCATTATTCGCTTCACTTCTACTGCTGCAGTTGAGCCTCTTAATTATGGAAATCTGCTCGATCGCATTCGCGACATCTTCGCTATTACACCAGAGAATTTGATGACTGAAAGGGAGTTTCAACTGGTTGATGATTCCCAGGAGGCGGAAATGAAGCTAACAGATGACAATTTTCTGGTGTCCACTGTCACAGCGAAAGAAGAACTTAGCGAGGATGATGATGCAACAGTGACCCAGCGCCTACCATCGTTAAGGGAAACCAGAACAGCTGCTGAGACAGTTTTGTTGTTTTTTGAGCACTCCAAGAGAGCAACATCTGACGACGTCAATCTATCTGCGGATTTGTTACGCCGTGTCTATGCCATAAGTGAGGGAGAGAAAACACAAGTTGTGATCACAGACTTCTTCAAGAAAATGTAATTACTTTTTTATGAATAAATTATAAATAAATTTTCCAATTTGTCATATTAATTAATTAATGCCGGCATTCTATATATTGACTTAGGGTATAAGTTGTTTTTAGTAATTGTTATAAATAATTTATTGTATCTTTAAATTTCACATTATAAACGTGTTCGATACAACGCCACCCTCGCCTTACGCCGCTTTTTTTGCAAAATCCGGATGGTGGCGTTATAACGAGAGTAGACTGTATTCACAAATATACATGTATTAATCGACAGAGTTCATAAAATGTATATAGACAAAGTGGCTGATGTAAGAGTTAAATCATTTAGATCAGGGAACAAACGATGTCTCACTTCTGTAAAGTTCGGACAGTCATAGATAAGGTGAAGAGAAGTTTGTTCAGTTTCTCCGCAGGAACAATTTGGTGTTTCTGATTGACCTCTTTAAAGTAAGTATTTCTGGAATTTTCCGTTTGATGTGAAAAATTGAGGTCACTATACAATTAGGATGGAACTGTGTATATAACCGTGAACATATGTAATACATATTCATG